ATTAAAAATAACCCAAATCAGCAAAACGGGTTAAAGCAAAAACTTTTTTCCGGGGGTTGGGGGTTGCAGGGGCGGACACATACACAGGGTTATTTGGCAAACAAAAAAAGAAAACGATTTTCCTTGAAACTAACTAGTAACGTATCTGCCATTGCCATTAGGCAGGCTCAGACTACAGATTATGGTGGGATATTTGAAACAGCAATACCAAGAAAGTTTACTCACTACAATATGGTGCAAACACATGTAACATTTAGGATGCTTTTGATATCAAGTTTTACTGGTTAGGGTACAAGATGACCTACAATCTAAAACATGACATTTCTGAAATTGTTTTGTTCAAAAGTATAAATGGTAAATTAAATACTAGAAAATCAATATAAAATAGGAAATATACAAAGACAGTTTACTACAGAAAACTACAGTTCAGTTCAATTAACAACAACAAACATATTAAAATGTCCAAGAACTGGTAACGTAAACAGGGTTCGTACAGATACTGCAAAATGAAATTCCAGGACTTTCAAGGACTTGCACTACTTTTTTGGTTTTCAAGGACTAAAATCAGATCTCACTTATCAATCAATATTGTTATTATCTTTCAAATTCTAATAAATAAACTAATAAAACAAAATGGTGCAAATAAAGTGCAGCACCCTTATTCAAACTTTTTTTTTTTTTTGAATATATGATTGACCTGAAGAATGAAAGCTATATCATACACTTATTTTGAAATCACGATGTACAATAAATCGCATATTTAGAAATGTTCATGGATTCTCCTGTGTTGGCATAGGTTTAAATGATTTACGTTACAAATCAAGTGAGTTTTCCCAGATGAACGTAAAGCAACCCAAACTCACCGCATATGCAGAGGAAGAGTTTAAAGTCCCCATGAAATCAAAATTAAAGTTTTTTGGGTGTTAGTGTCAATATGTTAGTCTTAAGGTTAATTATAAGGCAGTGTGCTCCAAAACAGTGACAAAATTCGCATTTAGAAGATTTTCATGTGATTCAACGCCATTTAAATCCATTTAATTGCAATATTTGGCCACATGCAAAGTGAGAAACATTTATTTTGAAATCGCAATCTACAATAAATCGCATATTTAGAAATATGTTGATGTATTCTGTGTTGGCATAGGTTTATAAATGACTTACGAATTAAAGTTACAAATTAAATGAGATAACGCAGTTTTCCTAGATGAATGTTAAGCAACCCAAACTCACCGCATATGCAGAGGAAGAGTTTAGCCCCTTTCACACATACAGTCTTTACTGGTAAATTACTGTTAAGAGATCATGTGTGAACAGGACCTTTTCAAAAAACCCGGTAAATTCGTTCTGGCAATCATATTGTTCTTATGGAGATGATGTGATTACTCTGAGCTGTTTACAAAGCTCCGCTGCTTTTTTAATAGCTTTTCTATGTAAATATAGATTACGCTAGATGGAAATCTTGTGCCTCGCAGCTTTTTCAATGTGTCGCGCTCGAGACCCAGGCTTCTTTTCCATTCATCAGCTGCGACTCTGCAATTGGATACTATTATGCGCGTCTCGTGTTTATAAGAGCAAAAACTTCTGATTGGCTAGTAATGTTAGTTTAGTTGAGAGTGAAAGCTGTGTTCCTCTCATACATTGGTAGGCGAACTCATGAACTCGAACGTGATATCAACAAGTGTTTTTAAATGTAGGACGACTATCTTTTTTTTTCAAAAAAAGCCAAACGCCGCACGCCGGAGATCCGGCACGGTGCCGGAGAACTTTAGGCCCTGGCAAAATTATAAAAATGTTTAAATACCTATGTAAACAAATTGCTGTTTATTTTGATAGCTAAATACTACAAACAGTACTAAAGAAAGTGTACTTACAGCTGAGGTCCTTTCTCATCAACACCTCCGAAAAGCAGAGCGACACCAAAAGGACGGCTCTAAAGATGGAAAAGGTGGATATTTGTAATCAAACTACAACCAGAGACAACTGTCCTGGAGAGAACTGAAAAATAATGCAATAAAATGTTAGCAAGACGGTCATACCATAGCGCCAGGGTCAGCGTCCTCCTCTCCAAACTGCAGAGCGAGGTTAGACACAGCCTGTGTTACGCTCTCCACCGTCATCGTCTCATTGTAGGTAAACCAATGGTTCTGCAGAAACACAAGAATGCTTCAAATATATGGCATTTGGTGTAAGAACACTGTATTTATTAATGAGACCCATTGACTAATCATAGCAGTGACAATACAGATTTTGAAGAAACTGTTCACTGACCTGTGTTTCCACTCTTGCTTTGTCAATAAGTGTCTTTGCATCAGCTATTAAGCCACTCATGGCACAGCCTGTATTGACAAATGAACATGATCATTCACAACTACTTTTATTATACTTATCCACATGGAAAATATGTTATTTTAAGCATTTTTCTTACCAATATGAGTGTCAATTTCTACAATCTTTTCAATGCTGCTGGGCTCCATCAGAGGAGAGGTTATTCGCTTCTCCACAGCGAGACACACTCCCTCCAATGTCTGAATGCCAATGGCTGTGGATCCCAACTGGAAAGACGCACAAAGCCAAAAAAATTAGCCCTAGAATTCATTTCTTACAAACCGAGAAAATTCAGACAAATTATTCTGCTAATAAGAAGTGTACCTTGATGGCTTCAATGGCATATTCTACTTGAAAAAGCCTTCCCTCTGGTGAGAAAGTGTTCACTCCTCTGAGGATGGAAAAATATGTTAATATGATATAGTAAGTGTATTCAAATCTGTATCATAATATACTTTACTAAATTGTAGAGTTAATGCAGTTGTTATATCAGCAAAACAAAACTGAAAGTGTGACAAGAGTGTGACATTACATACTTTAATTATTCTTTTACAAAGAGATATGTAAATATCCTAAAAATATATAGATATATGAGCAGCCACTGACAACACAAGCATGAAACACAGTTGACTGAACATTCAAAGCAGTGAAAGAGTAAAGCACAGATAAAGGTAATTCTTCATCTTACCTGTCATACTCTGATCTTGTCAGGAACATTTTGAAATGCAAATCTATAAAAATCAACAAGAACAGACTTAGATTATCCAACTTTAAATGTAGTTAGTTAGCACAAAAAAACAACAGCTTGCTATGTAAGCTGCGCGATCTTAGCACTGGAGTTCAAAACCAATCAAACACCGGCATCCCTTAGACTGATTGGACGATTTTGAGATAAAAGGCGGGGTTAAGACTAAACCGTCTATTTGATTGGTCGAACCACCCTTTAATCAATGACAAGGCATGTTTTACTTCAACTCAAGTCATTCTTAGATGAGCTGAATAATAATACTCCCGTCGTATTTACTTTCATATATGCACTTTTCTAAACTCACAAAGGCCACAATTTCCCATAAAGTTTTTTATTCATATTGTTCTTTATTTAGGCAAAAACCATGTGAGAACACAAACACATGGGCATCTAACGTTAGCTAACAGGTTTACTACTAAATAAACAACACACGGGCCGTTAAAATAACTTTACACGATATACTCTGTTGTCTCAAATGCTTTTGTCCGCTGATCTGCGGTTTACTGCAATAGGGCACTACATCATAAAGTGTTTGTTATAAATGTCTTACCTTCTGCAGTGGAGGGTGAGTTTGCTAGTTTCAACAGTACAGGAAGTGTTCACACATAATCGCCCGACAAAAGCATTTCGGTTCAACTTAGGTTCCTACCCCATTGAATCCATCATAGAAGTCTTCTTCTTCTTCTTTTGTGTTTAATGGCAGTTGGCAAACCAGCTTAAGGTGCATTTCCGCCACCTACTGGGATGGAGTGTGAGGCCTCGATGAACGAACATATTATATCTTGTTCTCATCTGATGACATTCTCTCTCACTTTCTGTTCCTGATGTTTGGCTCCAATCTTTCCTTCTTTTCCGCTTTTCTACTAAAGTCCACTTACTACTATTGTTTCTTTCATTTCCGCCGCCATCTACATCCTCCAAATCCAGATCACTTCCGGACTCTACTCCACTTCCGTCCATCTTGGCCTCAGTCACAACCCAGTGTCGCCAACCGCGCCCCCACCCATCATAGAAGTCTTTAACGACCAAATCTAGTAGCTGTTATCTGTAGGAACTACATTCTAAATAACTTCATTATTAATCGCCACAGTTTCCCTTTATTCACATATTTCTGCCTTTCTATTCCCTGCTTCCTTCAGTGCATTCATGTGTGCATGCTTGTCTTTTAAATTTGATTAAACACCTTCAAATAACAAACAGGCATTATCATTGTTAAACATAAACTCAGAATTTGTATTTAAAAAATATGACAAAAAATACTCAAATACAAAGCAGCAAATTATAACAGAAATTAAATGAACTTAAATTAAACAGCTGATCTACAAATTGTTATACATTTTTCAAATCATTTTGCCACAAAATTTAGATCTGGATGTTATTACAATAATTAAACCTTTTGTATGCATGTAGCACAACAGAGATGTTTCTTTTCTTTCTTTCTTTCTTTCTTTCTTTCTTTCTTTCTTTCATTAATTTTTGCATTTTATACGGTCAGGTCAAGTGTATAAAACACAGTATAATTATTTTGGTAAAATTATATTATAATTGAAAATACATTTTTGTTTCCAGTAAAATGCAATTTAACTTTCGAAAACATTAGGATTGTTTTTTTTTTTTTTAGGATAAATCGGTAATTATAGCCCATACTTATAATATATTTCTGTTATTGATTAATAATAATTAGGAAACATGAGCAATTTTATGTTTATTATAAATACACTTTAGGTGAACTTATAACACTTACTTAATAAAATATTGTTTCATACATTTTTTAAATATGTATTAAACATTTGACAAAAGTCACATCAATGAAGCAAAGCAAACTATCAACTAGAAGCAAAAAACTTCAGTTTATTTGTGCGTATTTTGTGTATGTTTTTGGGAGATCTGGCAACACTGCAGTGAATTTACCCGTGTATGTCACTTTAAGAGAAAGTTGAAATCACGTGTCTCACTGTAGAAAGTTTGACAAGTTGGTCGACACAAGTCTTGCTTTCCCGCTATCGAAAACCTTGAATGTCATTCTCTTGTGTCTTCTTCTTCTGTTAATAACGAACTCGGAAACTATCCTTTAATCGAAGTCTTTTCTATCAGCGTCAATATAAAAACACACCCAAAAACATGGAAATCGTGCAGGTAACGTAATAAACTAGCAACAGTTTGGTGATCTTCGTCTTTTCCGCTCAGCAAAATCACGTTGAGGATTTCATCTTTCATTTCTCCATTTACAGAAAATCATGTCGGGGTTTAGTCTGGATTTGGGACCAGTGAAAGAGCCACTGGGATTTATCCGAATCCTGGAATGGGTGAGTTTCTGCGATCACTAAACGGATCCAAATGTCACGTTGTGTCTTTTTGATAGTACATCGATCATTATGAAAGTTGATCGATAGTTATAAATGTCTTTAAACACTTTATTATGCGATCATATAAATGTACCTTGCACGCTACGTTGCAGTCACACATGGTGCTGTTTTGTCAATATAAGGGGCAACACCCTTATCAAAATAATGGACCAAAATTGCTATATTATCCACTGTTTAGGTCATCTAACATATAGACATCTTTAGGTGTGTCATGTGATAGGATATGTGCTGTAGAAATCATCTCAAACATACAAATGCATGCAAATTTACACAAGTCCTGCCTTGCACAGTCCCTTGAGAATGAAATGATGTTTACATTGCCAACGGTAGGAGCAACCAAGATAGTCCTGTTTGCCACATGCGCATTTAGAGCCTTCTGTGCTGGACTTTAGTCTAATACTAAATATACCACTGCAAACAATGGAAAATCTAGGCTATAAAAGCTATAAAACGCACCTATCTGCAGGGTTCTCCGACTGATGTGGGTAACTAGGCCTGGAGCTCATTAACCTACTACGAAACCAGGCTGGATATGAAATTAACTTCACTTTAATTTACTTTACTTTTTAATGTCAGTCTGATCTGAGTTTTGCTGAATCAAGAATAGATTTATAGTAGAATAATATAGCTTTCTTCGTAAGGGAACCTCAAGCTTCGGCTTGTGAGCTAAATATATTTTTGTTTGTCCTCTATTTAGTCTTAGACTAGACTGAAATTCGATCCAGTTAGTCTGATATGGTTTAGAAGGCCGGAAGTAGAAACTAACTGCCACAAATTTCAGTGTTGATATGTGAAACTTTACCTGCATACTCGCTGGCGTAAATATCCGACAGCACTGAAAACCAGCCAAGATCATTTTTAGAAGTGATGTTGTATCTTCAGAAAAGAATCCCAGCTGCTGTTGCTCAAATAGCAGGCAGTTTATTAGATGTTCACTAACTGAATTGATATCCATACGTGTGTGTGTGTGTGTGTGTATACTATATATATATATATATATATATACAGTATATTTATATATTCTGTTTTGGATGCTGGCAAGATGTTGTCCCAACCAGGCTTCTAAACTAGGTGTGTATATATATGTATATGTATGTGTGTGTAGATCTAGAGGTGTGTATATATGTGTGTATCTCACCTGGAATGTCTACATCTCTATCACTTTTGCCTGAGCCTTTGTAAACGTTTGCACTTTGCACACAATTTTGCTTTGTCTTTGCAAGGTGAACATGCAAGGCGTTAGACAAAAGACAAGGTGTAATTTAACACAGTAGTGTGTTGTTTTGGATCCTTCGTATGGAAGTAATGTAATTTCTGCAACTTAATCCAGACTGCAAAGCTGCTGCTTTGGGGACACATTACATCACAAGCTCATCGGAAATAATTCCAGACAATGCATTGCAAACCCAGAGTGCAAGATAATACAAGTTCATAAGGTGTAAATGAAGCTGTTATCTCTCTGTAGGTTATAGCAGCTAAACCCTTGTTCCTCTTTCACCCAGTAGGAAGTACGCCACCAATATGCTGATTTGGTTCTTATTAATATCAATATCAATATTGAAAGTTTTTGCTGCATAATTTGCTGCATTTTTTGTGGAAAATATGATACATTTTGTAGGATTCTTTATTTGAAACCAAAATCTTTTGTAACTTTATAAATGTCTTACCTCAAAATAAATCTTACCCCAACATTTTGGATGGTAGTGTATCACAGTTTCCACAAAAATGTGAAGCAGCACAGCTGGTTTCAACATTGATAATAATAAGACATTTTCTTGAGCACCAAATCAGCATATTAGAATGATATCTGAAGGATCATGTGACACTGAAGACTGGAGTAATGATGCTGAAAATTCAGCTTGGCCACCACAGGAATAAATTACACTTTTAAAAATAGAAAGCAGTTTTTGGAATTGTAATAATATTTTACAATATTACAGTTTTTACTTTATTTATAAAAAATAAATGCGTCCTTGTTGAGCAAAAACATTTTTTTTTAAATCATAATTATTTCAAACTTTTGACTGGCCATGTACATTTGTGCTTCTTTAAGGTGTAATACGTCTGCCGTTAGTTGCATAAAAGGGCTTTAATGTGGAGGAGGATATGGCTTCTATGCCTTCATAAGCACTTTTCTCAAGAATGTCCTGAATTGAATAAAATCTGAGGAAATGGGCAGTTTGACACATTTTTTACTTGTAAAGCAAGGATGTCAGCCACTCCCTTCAAAATCAGCATGTGTCTGCAGTGATGTTTTTGCTTTTAACCACCACAACCCAGATCTCCCAGCAGTAATGCAACAATGGAGAGGATGTTAACAGCTAAACTGACCTCTGATCATGTTGACGGTGGTGGCATGGACGGTTCATTCACACAAAGGCGCTCTTTAATAGTCAATTTCTGCGCGTAGGTGTGCATTCCAGCGTGAACGTGGCATCCGCACACCATGTGGTTCTGTTGTTTGGTGCCAGGCACCCTTAGCTGGCCCACTGTGCTTCTCTGTGCCAAGCACCTGCACCGCACGCTCAACAGGAATGAAGCCAAAGTCTTGCCGGGGTGAGGATCGCACACCCACTCTTGGATTTTCTTGGCAGCAAAAATGTAGGGCTATTTTTACAATCATTTTGGGGTGCAATACAGACCAATGTGTCTCAGGATCAGATATCTGGTTTAAAGAAAGGAGAAAACAATTTCTATTGGATAGTGTGAGGGTTTCTTAAAAAAAAAATGTTAAAGGGGTCATTTATTTTTTTTTTTTAATTATTTTAATATGTTCACTGAGGTTTACTTATAATGTTAATAAAGTTTTTTTTGCACAAAAAAAGAAATGTGTGGAAAAATGATTATTTTCAACCCTCATTCTGACCCTCTGTCTAAAACGACCTGTTTTTAAGGGGCGTGTCCTTTAAGACTTCTCAGTAATCGGCCACTGTTATGATTGGCTAACGTCATTGCATAGGAAACTGTATCAATGCCCCCTCCTATTGCATGTGAGTGTTTTGACAACATAATCAAAATAAAACGGTCATTTTCTGACAAACATTATGAAATAATTTACTTATGGTTTGTGATGCAGCTGCAGTCAGATCTAGTACCGCTTCATCTTTCAACATGTTTCTTTGTGAACTCTCCATGACACACTGTGCCTCGTTTACAAAACAAAATGCTCCAACCAATCCTCTGACACTATCCGGGGTGCCATTAAAAATAAATTATCCACTTGTTACTTACACTGGGATCCTTCTGATATCTGTACAAAGACGCAAACAAGCTTTTTAAACCAAACGTGTCAAATCAAACGTTCTTTCACTCTATTTGTCCTGACGACAGACTCAAGCACGTGGACTGTGTCAGAAAGCAAACGCGCATCTGTATACTGTATCCAGTGTAGACAAGATAGCAAACATTTTGATTGGACGATGCACCCTCCACAGATGATATAAATACATATAAATAAATTTAGACCACTTAACTTAGTGATTGCTATCGGGATGTGAAGAGATTTTCATTGGATTCACCAATTTTAAACAGCAGCATATTGAAAATAGAATTCTCACAAAGGACTCTGTTCTGGAGGGAAGTTCTGCATCCCACTATTGTTTCTCCTGTATGACAGCAACTGCTTCTCAGAAGATCCTTCATTGTTTCTTAAACGGGTTCCACAGAGACACTTCAGTGATCAAACAGTCCTTGGAATTCTTTAATATGTAGCTGAAATGTAAAAGAAAGGTTGAACTTTAACTTGGTTTGAATATGTGTGCTTCATTTCCACTGACTCAGACTGCGAGTAGAGCTCTCTTTAAAGGTATAGTTCACCCAAAAATGAAGATTCTCTCCTATGGTTTGAAATAATATGAGGGTGCAAAAATAATAGCAGAATTTAAGCATTTTCCTACTAGTTCTTCACAATTTGCTAAATCTAAGATCCACAGTGTTCTTCTGTTCCACTGTATGGCTCTTAAAAGTTACTTTTACGTGATTGCTATGGATCCTGTCACAGCAAAACACCTTGGAAAGAAAGAAAGAAAAGACTGGCTCAGAGTACACTGAAAAAATTCCAGCAGAATCTATAAATCAAAGCTGTGCTACTGTAGTTACTCTCACAAATGTCTGCAGAAGCCACTTCCTGTGTGGAAGTGGAGCGTTTGTAAAAGGAAAGCAGTGAACCACACTCCAGGATATGTGTGAGTCAGTGAGGGCAAAAGCGTTGAAGGATCATTTACAGATGTAGGGCCTGTCTGGATGAAGACAGCACTCTTACTATGATGTGAAATCAGGTATTGCCACATGCAAATGCTGAATTCATGTTTTTGAAGTACATTTTTGTGTATGTTAAACTGTCACTAATTGGACTGCATGTGTGTTACTTTTGACGCTTCAGAAAGTTCTGGAAAATTACACCTTGATTCTTGAAAATAATTTCATGCACAACAAAGTTTATATATTGATCACATATAAAAATGTGATGAAATAAAAACGAATAAAATTGACAGAAAACACAACACAATTACATTTTAAAAGGAAAACTGAAAATATAAAAATAAAAAACTAATTCCAAACATTAATAAAAACTCTAAAACTGTCTCAACGATGCTAAAATTACACTCAACATTCAATGCTGATAATAACAAAACAGCCAAATGCCGACCGATGCATGACAGCTGTTCTGTAGAAATGTAAAAATGCTATTTTCTAAATGTCTAATTATGATGATTGTTGTGTTTTTAGGTCTTCACCATTTGTGCCTTTGCCACCACTGGTGGTTATGTTGGATCCACTCAGTTCACTCTTAATTGTGGAAGTAAAAAAGACAACGTTACTGCTAATTTTGGATATCCTTTTAGGTAAAGCATCCAGATCTCTACTATATATATTATTTATACATGAAAGTGTCATTAAAAAAAAAAAACGGTTAAAATGCTGTCCTGCTGTTAGTCATGCAATGAGTAATCCACATGTATGTTGATTGAAGAAAGTAAAGGTTAACTGGAGAGACAATAAATTGAGCCCCAGTAAACATGTGACTTCCACTTCTTACTAGGCTTCCGAGTCAGCCATATGAGATTCCTCACTGCAATCACAGCAAGAACATGACTTGCCTGCAGGGAGATTTCTCCTCCTCGGCTGAGTTCTTCGTCTGTGTGGGCGTCTTGGGCTTTCTGTACTGTACTTTCACCATCATCCTGTACTTGGGCTACCAGCAGGTTTACAGGGAGTCTAACCGTGGCCCCACAATTGTGAGTCATCACTCATTTTTTTATTTGGAAATATTACTGTGATAATATGAATGTCATTAATATCAGTGGAGTTATTTTGTATTGCATTTTTAAATGCACTTGTCATGAATATCATGAAACGATTGGAAAATTATCTTTGTGATGCAGAATATTTGTGAAAATTAAAATAAAATTAAAAACATGTTTAGTGAGGATTTCTTACAGTTTATTAATTTGTGGCCAACCAATTTGAGTTTTTTTTTTTTCCCAGTAGACATTTAAATATTTTTTTATAGCTGTACATATGGTTGCAAATAAGAGCTTTATTTAATACATTTTATGTACATTTATTTATTTTTAAAATAATTTATTTGAAAACTTTTCCAAAGTATTAACAAAGTGCTTCATCCAATTGCAGAATTGTAAATGATTTCCCTTTACACCAAAATAAATTTAAACATAAATATTTTAATATTCAAAAAAAACTTGAAACTTTACTGCGATATACACATTTACAAATGAACATATCCATATAAAACATTTTACATATATATATAAAATGTATAATACATATTCATTATATATTTCTATATATGTTTAATTATATATTCATATTTAACAGCAATTTTACATTATTTAATCAATTCACTAATTAAATTTTAATTTTAACAGAAAACATTAATTATCCATTGTGAATATTGTACATGTTGGAAGTGATTTTCTTTCATCCGTTGGCCTAATTTTGTGCTTTTCCTTTTGACAGACACTTTATCAGAATGTCATTATCCCTACCATTTCCATGAGCAAGGATTGATATCCCAAACTTTCCTCTGTTTCCTCTCCAGGATCTGATTGTTACTGGGATCTTTGCTTTCTTGTGGCTGGTTTGCTCCTCAGCCTGGGGAAAGGGTTTAACAGATGTCAAATATGCTACGAATCCTGACAGGCTAATAATGGCATGTCTGCCTGAAGATCACTGTGTGGTGAAGACCTACCCTTCAATGGGTCATCTCAACTCCTCTGTGGTAAGTACGATTACTAACTGTTAGTTCTGCTCTATTTTGTTTCAAATTAAGCCTGGTTAATATCTAGCACATTTCATTGTGTAATATTTGTTTTATTATGTAGGCTATGTATACATTATGTAGTTCACATGTCCTACTCACTCACGTTTATATTTTATACACGCATTTCTAAGGCTTTTAAATTATCAAAATGATCAAAACTTTGCTGAAAAACCTGTTGCACACCATTTACTACATGCCTTTTGTTGTCTGATTGATAGTTCACACTTTTTAGCCAGTAAAAGGCCTATTACTATAATTGTAAAAATGTCCACCTTCAAGTTGTGGTTCACATGTCATTTTCCTGTGATATCTTTAATGATTTTTATGAAGTAAATATAAGAATAAGCTTTATATTATTAGTAAAATTTCAAGATGATCACTTACTGGACTGAAGCAGCTTAGGTTTACTTGTTTGTCCATACGTCATTTATTAGAAAACTTGTTTTAATATGCGAGTATCAAATATAATACAGGATTTTAAGGAAAGTTGTATTTCTTCATCTTTCAAACATCATTGCATTTCATTGCATTATATGTTTTAAAGGGATAGTTCACCCAAAAAATGAAAATTCTGTCATTAATTACTCACCCTCATGTCATCCCAAACCCGCAAGACCTTCGTTCATCTTTTGAAGACAGATTAAGATATTGTTGATGAAATCCGAGAGTTTTCTGACCCTGCACAGACAGCAATGCAACTGACACCTTCAAGGCCCAGAAAGCAGGGTTGCCAGGTTTTCACAACAAATCCGCTCAATTGCCAAAATGGGGGGTTCCCCTGGTAAAATTTGCATTCCAGGGGCTAAATATAACATTATTGGGGTCACTTAAACTCACGAACATGAAAAAAAACAAAACACGGCAACAGTGTTAAAGGGGTCATATGATGCGATTTCAATTTTTCCTTTCTCTTTGGAGTGTTACAAGCTCTTGGTGCATAAAGAAGATCTGTAAAGTTGCAAAGACTAAAGTCTCAAATCCAAAGAGATATTCTTTATAAAAGTTAAGAGTCAACCACGCCTACCTAAAAGAGCTCGTTCTAACATGCCCCCACATATCTACCTCACTATGTGGGAAGATTTGCATAACGTCGCCCAAATGTTCACGCAAAAAAAAAGGCGTAACTTTAATTCTTGCTGTTGCCGCCGCTGCCATGTTGTGGAGTCGCTGTGTGTTTGGTTGTGAAAGCAAAACTACTTTGTTTGGCCTTCCAAAAGAGGACGATATC